CTGAAAATAAGAAAGGGTACATTGAATTAAAAATAATATAGGAACCTCAATCAAATAGAAATATATGTATGTAAATTAAATATTTTCTCTTCACAGAATTACGCAGAGGGAGAATTTTTTAAATTCCATTATTTTTAAAACTAATTAAGCTATTTTTAATAAAATTTAATGAGCTTTAACATGAATAAAAGAAAAATTAATTCCATACACTGAAAAAAAATTATTTCAGTTTCTTAACGTAGCAAAATTCATCAGCCACCCTGTATTTCCAAACGTCATTAAACAGTTAACCACCGGAAATACGATTTGTATATAATCAAAGCTCTTAAATTAAATTTACACTCACATCTTACTCAAAAGGTGTACTCACTCTCAATTTTATAGATATTTTAGGTTCAACAGAAGATGATTCATAAAAACATATTACCAGAGTTTTGGAGATCATTTTTGTTTTACTTGCGCTCATGAATCACTTTAATTATATATAATTACCGATAATAAAATAACTACTAATAAACTAATAGAAATAAATCTTCTTTTCCTAAACTTCCCCTACTAGATAGAAAGTGTTTCCATTTCAAGAGTAGCAACTTTTTTGAAGAGAAGACAGAGAAACTTCAAATTTAATGGGGAATGTTTATTATTATTATTCGAAAACACATTCTTTTGCAWTTATTTTTCGAATATTGTCTCTTTCAAATATTGGCCGCGGCTACGTCTCAGATGATAAATCCGTTGAGTACAATTTTCGATTTACGAGATCTCGAGCATCAATTTCAGGCATCAAATAGTCGGTTACGTACTCACCGTCATCATTTTGGAAGAAATATGGATCGATGATTTTACTGGCCCTTAAACCATACCAAACCTTTGTTTTTTTTTTCTTTTTCTTTTTTTTTTTTTATGAAATGAATCTCTTCAGGTTGCATATTTGCGTACCTATTGGGCCAGAAGTGGGCTTTACGACTGAACAAAATTCAGCTCGATCGATTGTCGGATCTTCTTGGAACTTTCCAAGAGCTCATAGCGCAAAGCAATGTCGCTTGGGAAGGTCGATCGGCTTCAATTTTCTCACAAGAAGATTGCATCAATTGCAATCTCAATAGTTTTGTAAAACAAAAATAGCATTTCAGAAGTTGAAATTATACGAGTATATATGAAATAACCAAAAACACCTTTGCAGACATTAGCAACTATTTCATATTTAGTTAGTAGCCTGGAACTATCGAGTAAACGTCCGAGTGCATAAATCCGCGCACGCACACATACATGCACAGTTATGGCCAATAAGTGCTTGCTGCAACTTTCCTCAAAACCGGCTGCTGGCAAAATAAAACKTTGWTGTCGTACTAAGCAAGCAGAGAAAAGRAAAACAAAAAACAACAACAGCCAGAGGCACATAAGAGGAAATCGAGCGCATGCATCGTCAAACTTATATATTTGTTGGTAAATACTCGTAGGTATATACATATATGTAATATGTGTGTACTTTCAATTCAGTGTCAAAGTCAAATGGAAGAGATTATATCGCGGCGTCAGCGACGACAAAACAATAGACCGCTACAGCGCGGCAAATAGCAACAATAACAAAGTGAGCAACAATAACAAAGCGAGCAACAACAATCTGGGTAATTTCAATAGCAATAATCACAGCAACAGCGGCAGTGGCACTGGAACTATGCGAACTATCAGGCAAATGAGCTATTAGAGCAGAATGTAGAAGCTCGTATAAGTAAGTATGTATGCGCATATGACGSGTTCCACAAAAGTTCTGCGCTATAACTATACATATTAAATGTTAAGTTCCAGATATTTATGAAATTTTGCAGTTAGTAATTTTAGCAACGAAGAAAATTTCTTTARATTTCGTTTCTATCGTCAATATTGAAAGTTAAAGGGTTACGTGAGTTTACGGGTTTCAAAAAATCAATTACATACTTTTATTGTCTTATTAAATTTTGCAACATCTCTAGTTGATCTGAGTAATAGTTTCGGAGATACAGCCTTGAATACTTGTGCACTCGAGCCTAGCTAGGCTAAGTGCGCAGTCCTGAAACGGGTTTTTCTTGAAACTTTGAAGTCGGTTGACAAGATTTCTCGAGAACTACTCTACCGATCTTCATGAAATTTTACACAGGTCTTTGAGATACAATTCTTTACGACTTGGACGAGGGTTTTTTTTAATTTTTTTGTAACGCGGGAGCATCTTTCTTCCGAGGAGTCACCGGAAATGGCGTCGCAGAGCCGAGTTAAACATATTTTTCCCAAAAATTTCAAAATTTCTTTGTTAATAGTTTATGTTTGTAACAATAAAATATTCTGTTTTTGCCCAAGAAATCTCATGTAACCCCCTAAAGTTTGCAGTTGATATTTTTAGCAACGAAGAAAATTTCGTTTAGGTTCGGTTCAATGGGTAATATCGAAAGTTAAGGATCAAACTTCAACTGCTATAGACAATTTTTGCTGAAACCAGAAGAATTCAAATAAATGTTGCATTTATCGACTAATGGTTTTGAAAGCATTATAAATCTGCTTAAGCGTTTTATTTATATCATCCCTAGAGGGGTGCTGAGGATCGGAGGTGTTTGAGCTTTGAGCTTTCTAAAGCGGGTCATTAAAGAAGAACGTGTTGAGATGGAAAGAAGGAATATGCATGAGTACAAATTAATTTCAGAGAAAGTTTTTAATAATACTCATATTAAGCGAGTAGAAATGTATTTTTCTAAAGAGTATTTTGAATTTATATTCAGTTTTAATGAATATTTTTCTTACAAAGACCATGATCAGAAGAMCGAAATATCTTTACCATGAAGAATTAATTCATTAAACAAGCATTTCAGCGTCACTCATTCAGTGAATGGATAGAGACGAAATAATGAATGAAAGTTGTCTCCCAATGGGAGAACCTGTAGTGTGGCTCTCGCTTCTTACTCATACAGATGCTGCTTTCAAGGGTCTCTTACACAAGTGGTCGTGGCTGCACCACAACAAAGTCGTGTGAACAAATTTAACTATATGGAATATACTTTGACTATTTTTAGTTTATTAAACAGTTTCAATGCCAGTGGAGGAAAGTGCTGTCAGGGCGCACCACTGCCGCTTGATAWTATTTATTTGTAGATATCTAGAATRAATGTTACTTAAATGATGCAAAGTCGCACTACCAGTATTTTTCTTCAAGGTCAAATCTTACAGGTGTTTTAACGGTTTCCTTTGTTTACTAATGTGTATTGATAAAGGCATTCATTTAATTGCATTTATCTCACAAACAAAATGCATATTCTAGTTGTAAAAATAGCRAAAAAATGCTATAAACACATTTCCAACAGACAAGCGGCATTCACTCACGCTTTACATACCATATATACATATATTACATACATACTACACATTCTATAGAAGCTATGTATATGTTCGTATCGAGCGCTCAGCGCCTCCAAGTGCGAGCAATAACCGCAATCGAACAAATGTGTATTGTTTTTGTTTCGCAAAATTCATCATTTATATGTTTATTTAGGTGTTATACTCTATATACCCTAAACATATGCACACATACATATATGCACATAAATGTTTAAATAAGACACTGTGCGTGGGAATTTGGCCAAGTGGAGGCAGCCGAGTGTGTCAACGAGGATTAACGTATGGGTATAAGACGTCAAACAAAATCTGCGGAGAAATTTTAAACAATTGACATACATACATTTGCATATATACATTAGAGGGAGCGATAAAATAAAATAAAAATTGTCAAGGGGACTATGGGCGATTTTTAAATACTCTGAAAAATCAGTTACATATATAATCGGTTATTATACCCGATCTTCCCGATTAAGGCAAAGGAT